ATCTGGTATGATCTTTTTAAATAGATAATAATACAGCCTTTTACAACATAAATAGTGGGATTTTAATAAATTTTTAAGGCCAGTCGAGGGACGGGCGTTGCAAATGAGCTTGTCCTTTGTCTCTATACAAATCATATACATACGTGGGTGAATATCCTGTTTAGAAAAGTGTTACAGCTCGACACTAAGAGCAGCAGCTGTGAGTTACCAGAACCTTTTTGTCAATAGTTTTGTGTGTTTTCTGGAATACTAGTTGCATTTCTAAGCTCACAGTAGTATTTTTCTCATCAGAAATGAATGTAAATGAATGTAAATACACTGTAAAAAAATCCTAATTTTACGGAAAATACGTTTTCTAACAGTCATTTTCTCTTTTTTAAATTGTGAACAAAAGTCTGTAAAATGACAGAAATGATCTGTGAATTAACAGACTTGTATTTTAAGCATTATGCCAATAATAATCAATTACATTTATTTCCTATTTCTGTAAAGAAAAATTACTGTATTATTTATACTGTATTTTTTCTGCTTTCTTAAATTACAAACAAATCTATGTAAAATGACAGTAATTATCTGTAATTAAAAATGTAGCTTGTTAATATAAAGGTTAATGTCCATACGAACAATTTAAAGATTCTCTGTAATTTCAGGGTGAATCTTATTAGTTTTATATTTATGTGACTTCTACATTCAAACTTTGTGATTCTGGATGAAATGCAACAAACTTTTCTTCATCACATCAAACATTCAAACTTCAAACAAAAAAAGTTTGAAGTACTGGAATGTATCCCAGCATGCACTGGGAGGAAAGCAGGACAATGGTTTATCACACAACAGTCAAGCTGTCAGACTGTTGCTCTGTCCTCACTGAGCTATGAAGTATTATTTTACATCTCTACTATAATTTATACTTGTTACTAAATAAGATTTATCCACCTCTTTATGATGCAGACTTGTCTTGTGTCAGTGAAGTTCACCTGCACCTTCATTCACAACTGTATTCTACTTTTAATTTGTCAGTCGATTGTAAATTGTTGAAATTAATGCAGTTTTAATGTGAAATAAAGATCTGATACTGAGATCATCATGAGACATCAGCTGACACAAACACCACTCCAACTGCAACAAATCAAATATAACAATTATAAATAATGTCAATTAAAAGTTAGAAATGAAGATAGAAAACGTTTTCCCTCCACTCCTCCACAGTCTTTCCACCAACAGTCACAGTGTGACACACCTGCAATGTGAGTGAGGTCAGAGTCAATCCTTCTGGGTTGGACACACTTGCTGCAGATGTATGACGTTGGCAGCCGGAGGGTTTTTCCTCCAGGCAGCGGCCCCCGCTCTGCCACAGCAGCTTCAGGTCACCTTCCTCTTCCTGTAGGCTCTGGTCCTGGGTACAGGTAGTCCAGGCAGAGGAGGGGGAGGAACAGAAGAGGGGAGTGGTGCTGGAGCGAGGGGAGGACCAACAACACTGGATGAGGGGCCATGCTGTTCATCGTCTGGAGGAGGAGGAGGAGGAGGAGGAGGAGGAGGCAGACCCCTGCTGGAGGGCCCAGGCTGCTCCTCCGGGACATTGAGGTTAAAGGTCTGTCCTTATCCCACCTGGACCAAGGACAGACCCTTTGCTGAAGGGAGAGTCTGGCCAGCACCTGAACACACAGACAAACTGACTGTTTTAGGATTTTCAGCTTTCATTAAAAGATAAATCACAGAACAGATTCCAACACACCAACAGCTTCATGACAAACTCTTACCACCGAGTCCTCGATTCAATTCAAAGAGCTGGATGTTGGTCTGAGACATCAACCTGGGGCCGGCCAAGGACCCACAGCAGTACATCACCTGTGAGATCATGATACTGCTGAAGAACCAGGAGTGACAATACATCACCAGGTTTAAGCTTTAAACCAGAAACACTTATAAAGTCAATAGTGGTGTGTATGTTATTTGTAATTAAGTTTCCAACCCCACTTTAGTTGAAAGACTACATACAGAGACTTAACATTTTAATTTGCATTTCTTCAGTTTATCATATTTTATGAGAAATGTAAGAAAATTGATCTGAATCAGTAAATATTGTATTGAGATTGAGCTTCTACAGGTTTTAACATTACTTTACACTTAAAGATTCAATGTTGACACAAATACTGCAAGTTGAAGTTTGAGATGATTTTAATCTGTTTTACAGTATTTTTTACTTTGTCTTCCAAAACAAAAGGTTTACTTTACAATATTAAGCTTGTGTTAATATTTCATTGAGTGACACTTCATTTTATTATTAGGAAAAAGTTTCTTGACAGAAACTTTAGTGGCTTCACTTTATTAATGGTGTTTGATCATAATAATTTAGGAGAAATCTGTAAAATAACAGTTTTTCTCCGTAGAAATATTAATGAACCTTTCTGTAAATTTATTGTTTTTACACTTTATCTGAATTAGGACATTTTACTTTAATTTTATGGTTTTTCTTCAGCAGCCGCTGCTGACAGTCATTTAAAAAATATTTTAGAGTGTATGTAAGTACAGACCATGTAATTTATTCTGAAATAAATATGATTACCATTCCTATTTTTTCAGCGATGTGCGAGCACATTAATGAGCGGATGCTGTCAGCCACATACAGGACACGGATAGTCTTGGTATCTATGAGTATGTGAGCGCTGGAATCTTCTCAGGGCGTCTTGAAGGTGTCACTTTTAGCACCTGAGCCCGTCGTTAAAGCAGCACCTTCAGGCCTCCACAGTCAACAGACACGTGCAGCTGCAAACACATGGCGTGTTTATCCATTTGCTGCTCCCGTTAAACCTAGCGCCGGAGGTGTGAGAGTCCCAGCGTGGCGTGTCCTGCGTGCTGCTCAACTGTAACTCACAGATAGCTTCACTGGACGAGTGTCTGTCCAGGGGACGGGCGGCGGGAACAATGATGAGAATCAGCTGTTTGTGGTTTGACTGAGGGAATAATGAGGAGAAGAAGAAATCACAGTGGGATCGATGCTTCCGCACAAGCTGAAGCTAAACTGTGTCGCTGCCTTGAATTTGAATTTAAGATTGAAAAATGGATGAAGGATGAAAAGTGCAGTTTGTAGCAGTGAAACGAGTTTAAATGTGAGTCATATTGTGAAAGTGAACTGAAGTACAGAGAGACAGACCGAGCTGCATTGCTCCGTGCAGAGCCTGAACCACTGGCTCCCAACGTTTTCCAACTCACAACTTGAAAATCTCAAAAATGTTGGCAACAACACGGAGGCTGAATAATGTGTTCTCAGAGAACTTTTTATTTAAATCCGGACCGACAGAGGAGAGATCACGTGTCGATTCAACATCTGTCTCTTTTAATTCTTCCTGGTTTGATTCTCCAGTTTTCGCCGTAGACATGATCTTTAAGAGAGAAAACAAGTATATGATGATCTGAAAACAGAAACGCCCCTGTCACCGGCCCATCGCAGACAGACCATAATGAAAAGAGTTTGTTTTTAAGCACTTCGAAAATATATACTTTTTCACCAAAATCGTTATATTGTTTTGCTGATGATATTTATAATTTATCGCGGCCTACCGTTGGGCCCCGGTCCTATGTTATATCTACAGGTAGGAGCTGATGAAGACTGTGAATTTAGTCGAAAGCCTCAACACAAGCAAGTAAGTGGACCTTTAGATAAGCTATGAGCTTGTTTTATCAACCGTGAAGTGAACCTGTTTGTGTTGCTGAACGTTTTTGATGAATCCATCCCTCCACTCTGAAGCTCCTGAACCTCAGGTGCAACTGTGACGTCTCACCACCAGGTGTCGCTGCAGCTTCACCGTCCTCAGAGCTCAGGCCCAGAACATGTCCGTGTGATGAGGTTCAGTTTGATGGAGGTCGACAGGAAGCTTTCAGAGTGCTGCTGTCTGAGGACTCTGCAGCGCTGAGCTTTAAACTCTCACTCATGACTTTAAATATGAACTTTCAGTATTTTTACATTTTAATTTTTTGAATACATCGCCTCACTGCAACCTCCTGGTACAGCTCAGTGTGCTCATGGGAACAACACTCATCCCCGACATATATTTCCATTTACTGCTGTGCACATGTGCTGATAAAATGAGGTTAAATAATTATTTAATATTCTTCAATATTTGCTTCTGAAGTGACGTAGAAGGATGATGAATCAATCAAACTGTGTTTGTACAGCACTTTTCATACCGTTCAAAGAGCTTCACCCACTGATGAGCTGAGGAGAAAAAGGACAAATCAAATAAGAAAACCATTAGATTTAACAAGCTATAAAACAGCAGCAAGCAAACCAAAAAACTGAAGAAAATAAATAATAAAATAACCCAAAGTACAATAAAATACAATTTACAACAGATACAATAAAATATGTGAATAAAATAAAGCGAATAATGACTAAAAACTATATTTAAAGGTTGTAGTGATACTTTAAAAGTGTATTTAATAAAGTACTTTGTCACTTTCCACTCCATATTTGTTTTAAACTTTTATATTACATGCAGTTAGAGTCACTTCCGGCTGCATGTCATTAACAGTAATACAGGCCTATATATAAATATATATATATATAAATGATGTGGCCTCGTTCTGTCAGGATCTGCCCGGTGACACATTATGAAAAGCAGCAGCGGGTCACGATCATAAATAAACCCCGCCTTACACACCTCCGCCTGGCGGGAGACACACGAGCTGTTTACAAACACACTTTTATGAGGGAGACGTCAGGGGAGTGTAACTTCAACCGGGAAAACTTTAATTGGTCTCACACACACACACACACACACACACACACACACACACACACACCCACACACACACACACACACACACACACACACACACACACACACACACACACACACACACACACACACACACACACACACACACACACACACACACACACACACACCCCTCCCAGCTCTGGCCCCGCCCACACGGAGCAGGGCTGGTTAAAAGGCGGGAGTGTTGGGGCGGCGGGGTTAGTTCAAGAGCTGCAGGACTGTTGCTCACTGCGGGACTTTCTCACTGAGGGACGTAAAGATTCAAATCTACATTTTAAGGCTGAACTTTCAGGACGGTGCTGGATAATCTCAAACCCGGCTCCTGGAATCATGAAGTCTCCAAAGCTTAAAGCTCAAGGTAAGAGTTTATCCTGTTTACCTGTATTTTTTAATTAGTGATCATAATAATTAAGACATAATAAGAGAGACTCAAACTCCAATAACATCCCTGTGTTTAAATATAATATCCCTGTAGGGAATATGATTATTATGACCCGTTATTGAATGGTTGTATACACTGCCGCCTCGGCCACTCTCATTAATATAAACATGTATTTACATCGTTCTTCTCCTGCAGCGAAGTTCGTCAACGAGGAGGACCTGACCGACGTGCTGTGCGAGTTCGACGCGGTGATCGAAGACTTCACGTCGCCGGTGGAGAAGCGACACTTCAGGTACGACGAGCACCTGAAGACCGTGAAGAGGAGGAGCAGCGCGAGCGTCAGCGACAGCGGCATCAGCGACTCAGAGAGTGAGAATCCGTGGTTAAAGTCACTAGAAAAGAAATATGTTGAGAAATATGATGGTTTATTATGAGACATGAATGTGGATATGGATAAAATGTGGAGGTCTTACAGCAGGGAGGTTCCAGACTGTGTCTTCAACTGTGCAGTTAACACTAGTGACACCTGAGACTCCAGGATGGAGATCAGGTCTGCAGAGAGGACACAGAGATGTCCCTGATATCTCAGTCTGTGAACCAGGAGCTCTCAACTCTGCCTCAGCTTCTCCCCTGGAGTCAGACTCTGTCCTCCTCCACTCTTATCATGTGCCATCAGCAGGGCAGCGGGGGCGGCTGGCAAACTGTTGCATGCATGCAAGCGTGTGTGTGTGTGTGTGTGTGTGTGAGTGTGCTCTCACATGCAATTACACAGAGATAACGAGAAAGAAAAATCCTTGATGGCGGTCCAGAGATTTGGGGTTTAGATTAAGCAGCTACTTGCCGCATATTGTGGCTACGACTCTTTAAGTTTTACTGGCGTCCATTACTCTTATGACTCTTATGATACCATGCAGTGGGTTACACAGTCCTGCAGAACTGGGCCCAGGCAGCTTCCTCATGGTTTCAGCATCACGTGTCAGTGATGTGAAGACGTCTGTGGAACCACTTAAGGGAGGAGAGGATGTCCAGTTAACTGCGGACTGGAGACACAGACTCCAGAGAGAGAGAGTCAGGGACCAGCTGCACAAAAACACCTTAAGTTTTCTCCTCAAGTCTGACACTTAAGGTTGAATTTCTCCTTAGCTGAGGGAGTTACTTAAGGGTGCTGCACCCTCTTTAAAGGTTTCCTTTGTTAAGGAAAAACCTTAAGGCATTTGCAGCAGTGAAAGAGATTTTACTGCGGTAGAATTCTTCTGTTTCCATGGAGACAGTCTATTTGCTGGCTCGTCTCACAAAAAAATCAATTCCTCACATCGAGGCTCCTTCAATTATCTCCATGAACTCAGACATGTTGTTAAGAGTTTGATTCTTTACCTGAGTTTGGTCTCTAAGGTCTGACCTGACTTTAAGTGATTCCTTAAGTATAAGACTAAGAGAAGGAGAAAACCTCAAGTACATAAGTGAACATCTGAAGGAAACTTTAAGGAGTGCAACTGTTTTTATTTTGAGGAAACCTTAACTTTAAAATCTTAACTTCAGCTGTTTTGTGTGACTGGCACAGTTAGTTGTAGCTTAATAAACGGAGGTGTTGTGAGGGGATCAGGTGTTTGAACCTGTGAGCTCAGGGGATCAGATTCCTGCACAAGCTCCGTCCTCTCCATGGCGGTGGAATGAAGAGGGGCCTGTCGACCTATTGTGCTGCAGCCTGATGGATGGATGGACTGATGAAGGTGGAGATAAACCACTGAAACAAAGAGGAGAGAGAAATGATGGAGGGAGGAGGAGGAGGAGGTAGAGAGCTGATGACACAAGAAGAGAGCGGGAATGATGTGTGTGTGTGTGTGTGTGTGTGTGTGCTCAGTGCTGAGGGGGGGGGGGGGGGGGGGGGGGGGCGGGGGGGGGGGGGGGGGGGGGGAGTGGTGGAGGTCAGAGAGGAGAGGGTTAGTAAATGGTCGACACCCGAGACACTGTTGAGGTCTGCGGTGGTTCTGCAGAGAGGAGGGCGGCTCTAAGTACTGCCTTCTCTTCTTCTTCTTCTTCTTCACACACACACACACACACACACACACACGATCCTGTCTCTCTTACAAACAGTGAACATGTTTTATGACGTGGCAGAATGATGTGACATCACTTCCATAACGAGCTGTGTGTAGATTTGGGCGATATAGACTCTGAAAGCATCAGAGATGAGTCTTCCTCGAGAGCAGGGGCCGAGTTCCCGCCTTCAGAGCGTTCTCTTCCCAGCAGCACTCTGTGTTTTCCCGCTGTCACTGATTAACGCAGCGGAGACGTCGGCGTTGAGTTTCTGGTTAAAGGTGGTGTGAGGTGTGTGTGAGGTGTGTGTGTGAGGTGAAGCGGAGCGGAAACTTTTGCCGCATGGAGTCGGTGTGTGAGGAGAACACACCGAAGCTGCTCCACTGACACACATCAGGTCTGGAAAAGTGAGCGCTCCCCTAATCTGATCTGTATATCCTCCCTCTCTCTCTCTCTCTCTCTGACAGGTGCAGAGTCTCTCAACAGAAACAGCTTCAGCTTCAGCGACGAGCGGCTCAACTCCCCCACCGTGCTCTCCCCCACCACCCCCACCACCTCACCCCCTCTCATGTCACCAAAACGTGAGCCTCACCCGTCACTCTTCAACACACACAAACTCAGACTTTCTGTAAAGAAAATCCAGGATTGATCAGATCCAGAGGCCAGCTGCACAAAACCCCTTAAGTTTCCTTCTTAAGTCTGACGCTGAACACATACTTTCTCCTTAGCTGAGGGAGTTACTGAAGGTTGTTGTACAGAACCTCTTAAAGGGTTTCCTTTGTTAAGGTATTTGCAGCAACAAAAGAGATTTTACAGCAGTAAAATTCTACAGTTTCCATGGAGACCGTTAGTTTGCTAACATTAGCGCTACCTGTGAACAAAGTTGCCAGAAGTAAAAAAAAATGTCTTAAAAGAAGAACATTAAAGAAGTGCGGCGCTCTCTCTCCCTCCTCCTGTTGTTGTCATGGAAACCTCAGCCCAGTGTTCAGCAGACGGTCAGAGCGTCTGACCCTCACACAGCTGATCGATCGACATGAAATACTTGAGCGATAATCGACTGGAAAGATCCCGAAGCATCAAACCACAGAGCGTCATTAACTGTAGAGGCGCTGAAGAGGAGTGATCAGATCCAATCACAGACTGATGCCGATCAGATCTATAGAGAGAAATCAATAAATCAGTTTCTTGTTGAGACGTTCTTCATTTATCACCATGAACTCAGACATGTTGTTAAGATACAATCACAGGAACCTTCAGTTAGTTTGGTCTCTAAGGTCTGAACTGACTTTAAGTGATTCCTTAAGTATAACACTAAGAGAAGAGAAAACCTTAAAGACTTAAGGAGAAGACTTAAGGGGATTTTGTGCAGCAGTTTTTACTTTAACGAAATCTTAACTTCAGGTGATCACAGAGTATAAATCATTCAGAACAGAGCAGTGCTGTCTGACGTCTGATTAAAGATTCCTGGAACAGAAGTCGTCACTATCCGCTGAAGTCTCTCTCTCTCTCTCTCTGTCTCTCTGTCTCTGTCTCTCTCTCTCTCTCTGTCTCTGTCTCTGACTCTCTCTCTCTCTGTCTCTGTCTCTCTCTCTCTCTCTGTCTCTCTCTCTGTCTCTGACTCTCTCTCTCTGTCTCTGACTCTCTCTCTCTCTCTCTGTCTCTGACTCTCTCTCTCTCTCTCTGTCTCTGTCTCTCTCTCTCTCTCTCTCTCTCTCTCTCTCTGTCTCTGACTCTCTCTCTCTCTCTGTCTCTGACTCTCTCTCTCTCTCTCTCTCTCTGTCTGTCTCTGTCTCTCTCTCTCTGTCTCTCTGTCTCTGACTCTCTCTCTCTCTCTCTCTCTCTGCAGCCAGACTGGGCGACACCAAAGAACTGGAGGACTTCATCGCCGACCTTGACAGGACATTAGAGAGTAAGTGCTAATGCAAGCTAGCTGTCAGAGCCCTTGATGAATTAGCCCACGTGCTGGCGCCGCCCGCTACTCGGGATTAGCTCGGGCGCGTTCGTCCCATGTTGTCAGATACGTTAACGACCCTCGCTCCCCGTGGCGTCGCTCCACCTTAGGTGTCTGACGGACAATCAGTGATGAGTCAGGAGGATGGAGGAGCTCCGTGGTGACAGCGAGGGGGAAAGGCAGCGTTTCAGTCAAAGCGCCTCCAACAGCGCGTGATTAGCTCGCACTGTGAACTCTGGGCTTCTGCTCTGTCCCATCCTTTCATGTATATATAACACATGAGAGACGCGGTGTAACCTGAGCAGCTCCCAGAGCATCATGGGTAACAGGCTGAGGTGTGCTGGAGCCGGTCTTTACTAAGCGGCCTGTGAGTGTTGGAACTTGCATCAGAGCAGGAGGAATGTGAGCTGGTGAGAACCGGAGCTGAAATTCCAAGTGTAAATGTCAGGAATGGAATGAGAGCGGAGTGGGAGTCCAAGCTCGCTCCTTATTTCCATGTTTTTCTTCTTCTTCTCCTCCTTCTTCCTCCGCCCTGCTCTGTTCTGTGTTTCAGCCACTGAATGTCCGTCTTTCAGCTCGCAGGCGTCTCTGGACATTCAGTCAGCCAGTCAGGCAGTCAGCCAGCAAGCCCCCCCCCCCCGTTAGCCATGGAGAATGTTTATTAGGGCCACCAGTGTTTACGATGATCAGTCTGTGTGACTGAATGTCCGGCGCTCTGAGAATAGAACCGGCAACCCAGGAGCCAGGAGGTCCTGTTCTAATCAGGTCTGTCTCTGTCTCTCCTCAGGCATGTGACACGGAGGCTGGCAGTCGTGCTGGAGCGTAGCCATGAGCGAGGGAGGGAGTGGATGCCTGGACTCCCCTTGAACATGCACCTGCCCCCCCCCCCCCACACCACACAACCCAATCAACACACACACACACACACACACACACACCCGAAACAACACCCACCTGTATGACACGAAACACCCAACAGGATACAGCTGGATGGCACCGCAACCGCCAGCGCTCCGCTAACTCCAGACCACCCGGCGACCAGCGGCTGCACGGACGGCAAGAAAGGTCAAAATTAGCATCGCGAGGACGAGAATACTCCTCCGCCACGAGGCGACGGACTCCATGAAAAGTTGTGAGGAATGACAACATGGAATATACGCTACGAAGAGACACTGGAACATTGACAAACCCCCACAGCCCAGACCAGGCCGCACTCCCTCATCCTAAACTTGAGCTGGAAGAGTATTTAAAAAAAGAAAAGGCTTTTTATAATAGAAATATATTTGTAATTTTATAGAGCTTCTTATTGTAAATGTATCTCTTTTTTTTGTGAAATATATTTTTGTATCTTATGTAAATAATAATTGTTCCAAATTCTATTTGCCTTGGTTTTAACAGGTCGGTCAGATTAAGGTTTGACGCTCGCTGACTGGAGTAAAGTTGGTTACAGGTTTAAATGTGAACTGAAAACTTGGAAAAAAACTGGAAAGCAAAATGTGTATTTAATACAGCTAATGCCAGAGACAAAATTAAAATATGAAATATTGTTCTTTTAGTAACATGTGACTCCTCTCTTTATTTCTGACTTTAGCCTCTCTGAGCGTCAGTCACGTTGTTTCAGTAGATACCTGAAGTTAAAGCTCCATGTTTCTTCTTCTTCTGTGTTTTATTTGAAGTGTTGATCCATCAGAAGATATAAAAACCATCTCAGTGTAGTTTTACATCTCCTCTCTCAGGCTTCTCTCTGGAGCTCTAGTAACATCAGGTCTGTGAGCCAATCAGAAGAGAGGAGGCTCTGAGCCTCTCTTCTGATTGGCTGACTGTTTTCTGAGTGATCCAATAAAAATAAAGCAGATTTCAGGTAAAAACACTCAGAGAAACCAAATCCTGCAAGGTTTGGATGGTGGGTCCAGGTGGGTCCAGGTGGGTCCAGGTGGGTCCAGGTGGGCGGGGCTTGGTGACTGCTTTGTCACATCAGGACCTCTTGTCTTTTACACAGATTCTTTTTTCAGTCTGTCAACAACCTTTATAAAACATTTATTCTAAATGAATGGAGTTTCTCTTTAAGTATAAAAAAGAGGGGAACCGGTTGATTGTGGCCCCTCGGGTTCGTCTGCACCTGCTGCTAAAGAACTAATATGGAAGCGTATCTCGCCGTAGCGGGTGACCTTTGACCCCTGGTGGTCAGCAGACGGAGGGGTGCCTCTGACATAATTCCTTACTTCAGCCACACCTGCTGCCGGGGCCTGGGAGGGGTCACACCCTCCTGTCTCCCTCCACCTCTGGAAATAGAACCGTGTTGCTACAGAAGTTACATAAGTGGCTGCTTTGTTGAGTGGTTGATAAATGAGCACAGAAGGTAAGAGACTTGTAATGTCTATTTCAGTGTGTGTGTTGTTGCATGTATGAGTTTACTTTCTTGGGAGGGAATGAACGTCCAGCCTCTTCCTGGACTACCTCATGTCGTTTATCTTGGTGAGTCTTTTTCTTCGGTACCAAATTCCACTTGTCCATGACAAAAATAAATTTAGAGTTTGATGTGGATCTCATTTCGTTTCCCGCCTGTGTTCGCAGCTCTATGTCGGTCTCAGGTCTGGAAAGGAAGCTGAAATTTTGGCGGGAGATGGTAGAGAAGGGAAGTGTGTTGGTGTTGCTGAGTTAATAAAGTGCTGAGGTGGTGATGGAGCCAGCTGTCATTGATAACTCTCCCATTCAGCCAGTCAGCAGCTCCACCACCTCTGGAGGAAATCAATACCTGCTTGTGTGATTTGATTTTACTGTCTGTCTCCTTCACTGCACAGCTACAAAATTCAATGAGAAACAGGCCGTTGCATTCAAAGCTCCTCCAGTCTGCAGGTCTCTGTCCATGTGTGATTATAGATCAGGTCTAGGTTCTATATTAATACTGTGAAAGAGAAGCTCAGAGCCTCCTCTCTTCTGATTGGCTCACCGACCTGTTGTTACTAGAGCTCCAGAGAGAAGCCTGAGAGAGGAGATGTAAAACTACACTGAGATGGTTTTTATATCTTCTGATGGATCAACACTTCAAATAAAACACAGAAGAAGAAGAAACATGGAGCTTTAATGTGGTTCCACATCTGTAGCTTCATGTAAAGGAAGAGATCATACTTCCTTCCCTTCAGTCACTTACTGATCATCTGTCCTGATTTCACAAGAAGTCTCGTGTGTTCATGAGAGCGCCGCCCTCACAGCTGTGCATGGCTGCTCTTCACAGCCTGGGGATCCGGTCTGTACCATCACTGCATGCCAGTGCGTTAATCTGATGGCAGGAAGCTGGCATGGAGCGTGGAGACTCTGTCTCCGTGTTGTTTCTTCTCCACAGTTGGCAGAGGGGAGCTGTGGGCGCTGTCCCACTGTGAGTCCACCTATCTGCGCTGCTCTGCACCACGGGTTCGGTGTTTGGAGGGTTCCTGCCCCCGGCTGGGCAGCTGGCACTGATCTGAGACACCATGTTGATACAACACATGATCCCCTGAGGACAGGGGAGGAGGGGGGGTGACCTTTCTTCTAAAACAACCTCCCCCGTCTGGCAGCGGTGGGCATCTTTTTGGCAGCGCGGGTCGGTCCTGTAGGAGAGTTGGACAGAGGACAGTCTGGATGTGTGGGAACATCGGAGTCAGGCGGGAGAACAAAGTGAAGAGGAGGGAGGGAGGAGAAGAAGGGAACACAGGAGATATAAGATGGCAACAGACAACAGGAGGCCTCAGAGGCGGGACTGGATCGCCCGACAATCATCCTAAATCTTGCACCATGTGTCAGTCTTTACATCAAGACGGATTCCTATGGGAGGCCCCCTCTGGGCCGCCGGAGCGGTCGCTCTATGAATAGGCCGGCAGAGACACACAGATGTGTGTCCACATCACAAAGAGACAGAAATACACAGAGCCAAATATCAGGTTCAGCTTTCCACCCTGTCTTCACATCACAGGGGTCCAGATGTCCCAGCAGAGCGAGGAGAGGAGGACATTAATGAGAGTGTGTGTGTGTGTGTTTCCATGTTGGTCTGCACATGTGTGTGAGCATGATCATGTTAGTTTGTATGTGCAGGATACACAGACTGCAGCTGTGTGTAGACGTTAGCTGTATGTTTGCACATATATGAGCATGGTTATCATGTTTAAAGGTGTGTGTCTGTTGGAATGTCTTTGTCTTTGTCTGAGGGACATTTGCAGGTTGTCCTTGTGTCCTGGAGGCGTCCCTCTGTACGCTCTGATTTCCTCTCTCAGGCTAAAGTCAGGAAAGTCAAGAGAACTTTAGGTTTAATTTGCCAAATGTGATTCATTAAGTATATCTGCACCTGTCAAAGGTTTTTCTGTTGACAGAAAGAGTTCAGAAAGATTATTAGAAGTATGATATGAGGTGAAATAGTAATTTGTCAGATTCTAAATGTTCAAGGATTTCAGAGATGAAAAGAAAATGAGAGTTTGAGTCCAAAATTATATTAAATTGGATTTTTGAGGAGTTTAACCTCAGCCCTTTTACAGGCAGACAGTAGGTATTTTCTGTATGTTGAGTTAATGCATGTGCTTGCAGCCTGCAGCAAGGACCTCTGAACTCAGTCCTGGTCAGTGACAGAGTCCAGACTCACTCAGATCGGGATGACAGGCAGGTTCATCTGTCATGGAGGTCATTATTACTGCCTCTGTCTCACTCGCATCCATTATGATCTCCATTATCACTATCACACTGACTCATCTACGACCTGACCGACAGTATTGAGACCTGGAGCAGCTGTGTTACCTCGACCCACCATAATATCTGTGTCTTCACATAATAACACAGAGAATTATTTCAAATGACTGTGAATAGTGTGAGCATGATGCAACTGAGCCTCATGTCCACCTTGGGAATGAGGTCACACTGTTGTTAAGCAGACAGATGCATCACACACACACACACACACACACACACACACACACACACACACACACACACACACACACACACACCCTGAGAAGTCTGAACAGTGTGTTGGAGCTGAGTGAATTTACTGCTGCTGACGCTCATGCAGCTGAATGCAGCTCAGGCAGGTGCTACATGGTTTTCTAAGGACTCATTCCTTCAGGGGGAAAATGTGACACGTGACTTTTTGGCTTATTTTGTAACTAAGAAACAAGGTCGAATGTGCATCCTGGAAAAAAAAAGAAAAGAAAGATTAACACTTCAACACTGGACAAAACAACACAGGGTGTTATGACAACAGAATAAGTCTGACAGTTATGTAACAGCTGTCATCAGTCGGAAGTTCCTCTGCTCCTTTTGCATCAGTGGGTGAGACTGTTCTTTTGATAAATGTGTATTTTCTGCTGTGGGCAGTTGTAGCTCACTCCTGAAGAGCAGACCAGAGTGATAATTATACCATGACTATCAAGTGGGTCCACTTTTCCTCCAGGGTGAAAGGAAACACAGTACAGTGTTTGTTTAACTCATAAATGTAGTGCAGTAGAAAGAACAATATTTCCCTCTGAAATGTAGAAGTGAAAGTATTAAGTAGGAAAAAATGGAAATAGTCAAGTAAAGTACAAGTAAAGTATTTAGGCTACATGTAAAGTAATGTAACAAACTAGCAAACATTAGTGAGCTAAAGTGTAACTTAAGGTTCAAGATAGAAACTAGCTAACATTAGTTATTCTATCTGTAACTTAAAGCTAGAGTTAGAAACAAGCTAACATTAGTTATTCTATCTGTAACTTAACGCTAAAGTTAGCGCCTTCATTTTTTCACAGTATTAATATAGAACCTAGACCTGCTTTATAATCAAACAACACATGGACAGAGACCTTTCGACTGGATGCACATTTAAAGTCTGCTCCTAAAAGGCCTTCACTGATCAAACAATAGTAGCAGATAGCTGGGTGTGTAAATTTATAGCAACTGC